TATCTTTCCTCCAATGCATGTTCTTGGCACCTTTGTCTAATATAAGATAATTGTAATTTTATGGGTTAGTCTCTGTGTTCTCTGTTCTGGTGCCAATACCATGCTGTTTTTGTTACTATTGTTCTATAGTATAGTTTAAAGTCTGGTATAGCGATGCCATCTGCTTCACTCTTCCTGATAAGGATTGCTTTAGCTATTCTATGTCTCTTATTTTTCTAGATGAATTTTATGATTGCTTTTTCTATTTCTGTGAGGAATTTTGATCAAAATTGCATTAAATCTGTATAGTGCTTTTGGAAGTATGATTATTTTGATAATATTAATTCTGCCTATCCAAGAGCAAGATAGGTCTTCCATCTTCTAAAGTCTTCTTTGATTTCTTTCTTTAGGTTTCTGTAATTTTCATTATACAGATATTTCACCTCTTTCATTAAGTTTATTCCCAATTTTTTTTGAGGCTATTGTAAATGGGGTRGTTTTCCTCGTTTCCCTTTCTGAGGATTTGTCACTGATGTACAGAAATKCCTTTGATTTATGGGTGTTGATTTTCTATCCTGCTACCTTACTGAATTCATTTACTAGTTCTAGAAGATTTCTGGTGGACCTTTTAGGGTCTTCCAGGTATAGAATCATATCATCAGCAAATAGAGCACAATTTGAGTTCTTCTTTTCCTATATGTATCTCTTTAATTTCCTTTGTCTAATTGATGTGGCCAGTGTTTCAAGAACTGTGTTAAATAGAAGTGGTAAAAGAGGGCATCCCTGTCTTATTCTAGTTCTGAGGGGGAATGCCTTCGATTTTTCTCCATTTAGAATTATTTTGGCCTGGGACTTGGCATAGATAGCCTTAATGATGTTGAGATATGTTCCTGTTATCCCTAGGTTTTCTAGTGTTTTAAACATAAAGGAGTGCCGTATTTTAGCAAATGCTTTTTCTGCATCTATTGAGATGATCATATGATTCTTTTCTTTAAGTCTATTGATGTGATGAATTACATTTATTGATTTCCGTATGTTGAACCAACCTTGCATCCCTGGGATGAATCCCACTAGATTGTGCTGCACTATGTTTTTGTATTCGATTTGCCAGAATTTTATTGAGAATTTTTGCATCTATGTTCATTAGAGATACTGGTCTGAAGTTTTCTTTTTTTGATGTGTCTTTGCCTGGTTCTGGAATCAGARTGATATTGGCCTCATAGAATGAGTTTGGAAGTCCTGCCTCTCTTTCTATATCCTGAAATAAATTGGGGAGTATTGGTATTAGTTCTTCTTTAAAGATCTTGTAGAACTCACTGTGTATCCGTCTGGTCCTGGGCTTTTCTTGGTTGGTAGACTTTTGATGGTGTCTGCTATTTCATCACTTGAAATTGATCTGTTTAAACTGTGTATATCATCCTGATTCAACTTGGGAAAATTATATAGTCTAGAAATTTTTCAATGCCTTCAATATTTTCTATTTTATTGGAGTACAAGTTTTCAAAATAATTTCTAATTATCTTCTGTATTTCTGTTGTGTCATGATATTTCCTTTTCATCACATGTTAGTGATTGGAGTTCTCTGCCTCCTTCTCTTCATCAGCCTGGTTAAGGGTCTGACAATTTTTCAATTGTTTCTTTTGTTTCAGTTTCATTGATTTCAGCTCAGATTTTAATTATTTCCTGTCTTCTGCTGATCTTGGTGTTGATTTGTTCTTTTTTCTAGGGCTTTGGGATATMGTGTTAAGTCATTTAGTTGTTGACTTTTTCTTCTTTTATGGAATAAACTCCACACAATGAACTTTCCTTTTAGAACTGCTTTCAAAGTGTCCCAGAGATCGATATGTTGTATCTGTGTTCTCATTCACCTCAAAAAAATTTTTTGATCCCCTCCTTGATGTCTTCTGTAACCCATTGTTCATTCAGTAGCATACTATTTAGTCTCCAGATGCTGGAGTGGATTATATTTCTTCTTTTATTCCATTATGATCAGATAGAATGCAGGGTAGTATCTTTTATATTTGATAAGAGTTGCTTTGTGGCATAGTATATGGTCTATATTAGAGAAGGATCCATGTGCTGCTTAAAAGAAAGTATACTCACTCCTTGAGGGATGGACTATTCGATATATGTCAGTTAAGTTTAAGTTATTGATTGTATTATTGAGTTCTGTAGTTTCTTTGTTCAGCTTTTGTTTGGAAGATCTATCTACTGATGAAAGAGGTATGTTAAAGTTACCCAAAATTGTTGTGTTGTGGTCTGTTTGACTCTTGAACTTGAGTTTGGTGAACATAGCTGCTCCATTGTTTGGGGCATATATATTTATACTTGTGAAGGATTGTTGGTGTATAGTTCCCTTGAGCAGTATGTAGTGTCCTCCTTTATCCTTTTTGATTGACTTTAGCTTGAAGTCTACTGTATTTGATATGAGAATGGAGACCCCTGCTTGCTCCCACAGTCCATGTGAGTAGTATGATTTTTCCTAACCCTTTACCTTCAGTCTGTGSATGTCTTTTTCTATGAGATGAGTTTCTTGAAGGCAGCATATTGTTGGGGTTTTTTTTTTTAATCTTTTGATTGGCGAGTTTAGGCCATTAACACTCAGGGTTATTATTGAKACATGATTTGTATTCCCAGCCATTTTTGTTTATTTTTAGTATTTAATGTGACTTAGTTTCTCCTCCGATTAGATTTTCCTTTAGTGTAATCCCTCCCTCTGCTGATTTTCATCACTGTTTTTCATTTCCTCTTGGAATATTTTGCTGGGGATGTTCTATAGTGCAGGCTCTCTAGTTGTAAATTCTTTTAACTTATGTTTATCACGGAAGGTTTTTATTTCATCATCAAAACTAAAGCTTCATTTTGCTGGATATAAGATTCTTGGTCAGCATCTATTCTCTTTCAGAAAGAAGGAAAATAGTAAATGTTGTTCCATGATCTCCTGACTTTGAGGGTCTGGATCAAAAAAATCTGATACATGAATTGGTCTCCCCCTATATGTGATCTGATTTCTCTCTCGCAGCTTTTAAGATTCTATCCTTATCCTGTATGCTAGGCATTTTTATTATAATGTGCCTTGGTGTAGATCTGTTGTAATTTTGTACATTTGGTGTCCTATAAGCCTCTTGTATTTGGTTTTCCAATTCATTCTTTATGCTTGGAAAATTCTCATTATCTCATTGAAGAGATTGTGCCTTCCTCTATTCCAATAACCCTTAGATTTGGCCTTTTGATGCTGTCCCATAATTCTTGGATGTTCTCTTCATGGTTTCTTTTTCACTGTGTGATCAACTTTATTTTCCAGATTGTATACTTTGTCTTCATTATCTGACGTTATTTCTTCCAAGTGATAGTCTGTTGGTTATGTTTTCTGTTGAGTTTTGTATTTGATTTGTTGTATCCTTTGTTTTAAGGATTTCTGACTAGGTTTTTTTTTCCAGGGTCTCTAGTGTATTCTTTTACCACCTGTATCTGTTGGAATGATCAATTTTTGCTTGTATTTGCTCATTAAGGTCATTCTTTAATTCACAGATCTTTTGTTTTATTAATTTTTTAAAAATACATGACAGCTGAATGCATTATAGTTCTTATTACACAGAGTACAATTTTTCATATCTTTGTATATATAGTATGTTCACCCCAATTCATGCCTTAATACATGTACTTTTTTGCATTACAATTCTTATACATATATACCACAATTTTTCAAATCTGTTTATATATAAAGTATGTTGACACTCAATTCGAGTCTTCATACATGTACTTTGGATAATGATGTCCATCACATTCCACTGCCCTTGCTAATACCCTGCCCCCTCCCTCCTACCCCCCTTTCCTATCTGCAATTCATCTAATCCTCCCACGCTCCCCCTTCCTATCCTACTATGAGTCAGCCTCCTTATATTTGAGAAAACATTCAGCATTTGTTTTGGGGGGGATTGGCTAACTTTGCTTAGCATTATCTTCTCCAATGCCACCCATTTACACGAAAATGCCATGATTTTATAAATACACGACAGCGGAATGGATTACAGTTCTTATTACACAGAGTACAATTTTCATATCTTTTTATTCTCAATGCTGAATAAAATTCCATTGTGTGTATATGCCGTATTTTTTTAATCCATTCTTCCACTGAAAAGCATCTAGGTAGGCTCCACCGTTTAGCTATTATGAATCGTGCTGCTATAAACATGTGGCTATGTCCCTGTAGTATGTTATTTTTAAGTCCTTTAGGTATAGACCAAGGAGAGGGATAGCTGGGTCAAATGGTGGTTCCATTCCCAGATTTCCAAGGAATCTCCATACTGCTTTCCATATTGGCTGCACCAATTTGCAGTCCCACCAGCAATGTATGAGTGTGCCTTTCCCCCACATGTTGCCAACACTTGTTTGTCTTCATAATAGCTTCCATTCTGACTGGAGTGAGATGAAATCTTTAGTTTTGATTTGCATTTCTCTGATTGCTAGAGGTGAGCAATTTTTCATATATTTGTTGATTGATTGTATATCAGATTCTGAGAAGTGTCTGTTCAGGTCCTTGGCCCATTTGTTGATTGGGTTATTTGGTTTTTTGGTGCTTAGCTTGTTCTTTATAGACCCTAGAGATTAGTGCTCCCATGTGTGAGGAGTAAAAATTTGCTCCCAGGATGTGGGATCTCTGTTCACCTCAGGTTGTTGGGTTTTTTTGTTTTTTGCCGAGAAGAAACTTTTTAGTTTGATTCCATCCCATTTTATTGATTCTTGATTTTAATTCTTGTGCCACAGGAGTCTTATTAAGGAAGTTGGGGCCTAATCCCACATGATGGAGATTAGGTCCTACTTTTTCTTCTAATAGACGCAGAGTCTCCGATTTAATTCCTAGGTCCTTTTGAGTTAAGTTTTGTGGATGGTAAGAGATAGGGGTTTAATCTCATTTTGTTGCATATGGATTTCCAGTTTTCCCAGCACCATTTGTTGAAGAGGCTATCTTTCCTCCAATGCATGTTCTTGGCACCTTTGTCTAATACAAGATAATTGTAATTTTGTGGGTTAGTCTCTGTGTCCTCTATTCTGTACTATTGGTCTACCAGTCTGTTCTGGTGCCAATACCATGCTGTTTTTGTTACTATTGCTCTCACAGATCATTTTAATTATGACTCTTCTGAACTCCTCCTCTGACATTTCATCAACTTCGCTGTCCGTGGGTTCCATTATTATAGTATCCTGGTTTGTTTGGGGCACTTTTCTCCTTTGTTTCTTCATGTCTCTGTGTCTTCCTTTCTTGCAGTATGGATATGAGATACTACAGTTTCTTCCCTATATTCTTGTAGTACCTGGGCAGGTTGTCTGAACCTCACCTTGATATTGGGCTTCCAGACCCTGCTGATGCCCTCAATGGATGCTCCTGGATCTGGGTCCTGCACAAGTTGGTGTGGGTAGTTCTGGGCCACTGGGCTTGACCTCCCTCAGTGGTCTTCTGGTAGGAAGGGGCAGTCCTTTGCCAGAGGCTAGGGTCTGGTGGGTGTCTGCCCTGCCAGGGGAGGAGTAAACTGAGCCTGCTGTGCACCTGGGACCAGTATTGATGGATCTAGACCACAGGGCTTGACCTCCCTGGGTAGTCTGGTGGTCAGAAGGGGCAGTTCTGCACCAGAGGACAGGCTCTGGTGGGCATCTGCCCTACCAGGGGAGGGGTGGACCAGGCCTGCTGTGCATGGATCCCAATTTTTAAATTAAACCTTATCATAGGTACGTATATACAGGAGAAACCTAGTCATAGGGTTGGATCCTATCCACATTTTCAGACACCCATTGGGGGTCTTGCAGTGTATCACCCACAGATTAGGGGGGACATTTCGACAGATGGTGCCAGCCTCTCTTCCTCCTACACAGTCATGGAAAGAGATTTTTTTCTTCTTCTTTTTCAAACAAGAGACTTATTATAGTGTTTCCCCCTGGTCTTCAGGTGAAAGCAGTTTGGAATGTAGAAGTGAGGGAAGCTGACACTATGCAGGGAGCAGAGCTTTGGCAACTGCATGCTCCTCTTGTACCTGGGTCATCATCTTCTGTAATTCAGGGCACACAAGGCAATAGCCAGGACTGATCCTCCAGGCTTCAGAGATTAGCTTCCCTCATAAAGCAACAGGAACTGAAACCAGCAGGGTGGGAAATAGCATAGTTCCATGCCTCTCCTGGAGCACCAGCTGAAGAGGTCAAAGGTGAGCATTATTCTGCTGTGGGAGGATTAAAAATATGTACTGCTATGCTAACAAGAAAAAGTCTACCTATGATCAAATATTTAACTGACACAATTATAAAAATTTATGGGGGAGATAACATGAGRGACAGAATTTTTAACACATTTTTGTTGCCAAGTAGGAGAATTATTTGCTCTCCTTCYTCCCCAGACCCTCTGTGATGAATAATACAAACTTAATTGCAATTTATTCTAAGACCCTACTAGAAGAAGTGGGACCAGGAGAGTGACTGTCTACAATAGGAGTGGGCAGAGCATAGCCCACAGGTGRAATCCAGGCTACTATGTGTGTTTGTGGATGCTGATTATAAACTTAYATTTAAAAATATAAAAACCACTAAGGACTACTAGCTTTTAGTGAGAATAGTTGATTTTGTGTCTTGGCTCACAAATCCCAAAATGTTTACTATATGACCTTTTACAGAGTTTAGTTTGCTGAACTCTAGCTTAAAAGATGGTCACTGGGGATAGTCAGGCTTCAGGGGAAGATTCACTAGATGGAGTGGAGTGCTGTATGTGGCTACTAAATTAAAKAGAATGTCAACAGCCATTTGTAGCCCATGGTTTTGTTAGGATGAGATAGAAAACAGAACATTTCTGCCATCACAGACAGTCCTGGCACAGAGGGATGCCATGTCTACATAACATTGCATGAACTCCAGTATCCTGAAGCAACTCAGTTCACTAAATGGAAACTCAATGCAAGTGAATATACTTCAACCAAAAATTTACAAATTAGACTCATTTYCTATAGTCAGAAAGAAAACTGAATGTCATTCCTCTCCTTGGACACCATCAACAATCTGATGATTTGGTTGCCATATAATCCATTTGTCTCGACTTGGCCATTATTCCAAGTTAGACTGAGGAAAGTGTGTTGGCCCTGGGATCAAAAATCTGAGCACCCATCCTCCTGCATGTTTTTACCGTCTGGGTGCCGAGTCTCTAAATGTGCTCAAATTCTCTATTTGCTCAACAGTAAAGCCCATTGTAATATTTGCAGAARACTTCTTTGTCAACTGTAAAGGACTGCCCATGGCTTTCTGGATCACCATTGTATCCCCCAATACCTCATATTCTGTTCAGAAAAAAAAAAARACACTTAGTATTTGTTGAATGATAAAGAAAATAGGGCTTCTCATATAGAAGACATCTTTCAGGCCAAATACTGTAACAATGACTTCCTATGGGAAGGGTTAAAAGGATTCAGTTGTATTGATATGGGGACGCTTTAGAGCTATTTCACTGTCCCTGAGCACTTGGGCCAGGAATAAATCTGCATCCTGATCCCTCTTTCAGGTGATGGAGCAAACGACGTAAGCATGATTCAAGCCGCCGATATTGGGATTGGAATATCTGGACAGGAAGGCATGCAGGTATTGTGCCCTGAAACTGCTCTTGCTTCTCCCTACTTTCCTCTATCCATATTGAAGATTTAAGGAATGCCCCCACAGCACTGGAGGGACCTTCCCCAAGAGCTTCATGGAATTACCAGCCATCTTCCATGCCTCTACCCGACCTCCGACACCACATTCCTATGGCCCAGCCTTTCAAAAACAGAGGGATAGTGAAGGAGGTTGGCTTTTTACAGTGAGCAGATGATAGCTGTCCTCTGAAGCTGATTAGTACCCAAAATATAAGCCTTCCTCTGACTCCACACCTCTGCGCTGTAACCCACATCCAACGGTTCAGTGCCCTCGGTGAGCAATTAGCCATCAGGGCCTTTGAAAACGTTTTAAGTTGCTGTTTTAGCCATGTGGGTTGAYGGACCCATTAGTTGCTTGGTGTACTTTCACAGCATATCGTGTTTACTGAAAAGTCAGCTTTGACCAAGCAGACTAACTTGAGCTGCTCTTCTTTCTCCTTAAAGCAGGCCCTATTTTGTGGTTTTGAACCATAACAATTGTATTTCCACTCCCCCCGCAGACATTTGGCATTGACTAAGTTTGTAAGGCAGTTCTGTGTTACCCCCCGAGTGTCCCCCACCTGCCAACATTGTCAGGCACTTCATGTGTACTACCTCGCTGAATTTGAGTTGTCACTACAACCCTGTGTTAGGGATTATTCTTCCATTGTCTTCAGATGAGGGAATTGATATAACCTGACCAAGATTCATACCAGGAATTATAACTAGGTATAACCAAACCTCATGATCTTAAAAGAGTACTCTGGACTATTTTATTATGAATAACCCCAAGGGCGGAAGACATTTCAGTTCCTTGTCAAGGAGGGACTAGCCACTCATCAGCTCCATCCAGAGGGGCTGGAGAAATACTTGAATGGAAACCCTTACTCTCTGGTTAACCACCACATCCCTGCAATGGCCCCTGCTACCTACTGAGCCACAGTAAACGCTTATTTGATAAACAAATGGAGAGGACAGACTAAACCATTGGTCCTTCTGGTTACCCTTCTTGGAGTCTAGTGAGGTCTCCATTTCCCAGAAGAGAGTGGGAATCCAACCGTCCACCCCAGAGCGACCACATAATTAAACAAGGGGCAATTCAGACCCTGCAAACTCCAGACCTAGAACAAAGCACTGCCCTCAAGGGAACTTCTTTGGGACTTGGGTGGCCCCAGATGGAAGYTAACATCCCTGCTCTTCCCCATCAGGCTGTCATGTCCAGTGACTTTGCCATCTCCCGCTTCCGGCACCTCAAGAAGCTGCTGCTTGTGCATGGTCACTGGTGTTACTCGCGCCTGGCCAAGATGGTGGTGTACTTTTTCTACAAGAATGTGGTGAGTGGCACTGTGGCAACCTCCCACCTCATCCCTGGGGGGATCCTGGCCAGAGCATCTCAGAAACACGGAATGAGGCATGCGGACCTGAATTTTTAGATCTTAAAACCGTTCATTTATCTGGGCCATAATATCCCCTTTGATAAGAAAGGGCTAATACTTTATAGAAAAAAAGAATTGGCAATGTTGCGCATAGAGGTCAGCATGAGTAGTTGTAAGTGTGGAGTCTGGAATCAGATACTTTGGGTTCAAATCTGGTTCCCAGTTGGTCATGAACCCGAGTCTCACTATTACCATCTGCATTTGACAGATACAGCATGTATATGTGAATGATACCATCTGAGAGTTTTGTCAGTGTGACAAAATACCCAAGATAATCAACTTTACATGGAGGGAAGGTTTATGTTGGCTCATAGTTTGAGGTTTCAAGCCATGGACAGTCAGCTTATTGCTTTGGGCCTATGATAAGGCAGGAACACATGGCAAAGGATGGTGTCCGTCCAATAGCAACCAGGAAGTCAAAGGAGGAAAGGAAGGGCTGGGATCCTAATATTTCCTTCAAGAGCATACCTCAGTTCCTCCCACTAGTCCCTGCCTAATAAAGGTTCCATCACCTTACCACAGAGGTTCTCCTACATGGGCCTCTGAAGAACACATCCAAACTATAGTTTGTGCTATGAAGCACAAATGAAATCTTGTATATAAAGTGACTGACATGTAGTAATAACTCTAAAGTTAGCCATTATTATTCTTAGAGTTAAATTTCATGAGATTTATGTTCTGATTGCAAGGAAAAAGAAATTGAAAAAACAACCAGTCTGATTCATACCTTAGAATTCTCTCTCCAAAGAGAGCCATCCCAATTCAAGATCTGCACGCTTTGCCTTGGAATTGTACAAGACCAGAGCCCACGGCTTCAACCTGCACCTCCCTTAAGGAACACCAGACTTCCTTCCAGTAGGTTCCAAGAGGGCAGGACCCTAGATGAAATATGTATCTGCAAAGATGTTTAGGGAAGGCAGCTCATCTGGGTGTAACATGACAGGTGGCTATGGAAAAGTCATTGAACTGAGCCTCAGTTTCCCCACCAACAGTATAAGATGATTCTAGGATTCTGTGAGCATAGGGAGAACTCAGTTTTTGTACTTTTTGGGGGGAACCAGTCCTGAGTTTTTCATTACCTAGTTCAAGGACCTTTGAATAATCCCCCAAGAGTCTTCAAATAGTATCAGATTCCTCTTTGCATAAGAAAGAGGGAAGAGAAACAATAGCCAAGAAGCAGCTACAGACCTCTTTATCCTTCTTGCTCCGTTTTCCCAGTCCTCCTTTTGGGCTCTGACACCATCACCCTCACTCAGGAACAAACCTTTCTGTGCAAAGTTCAATGCACATGTAAATAAACAGCATGACAAAAAAAAAATCATGTAAATTGGATGGTAATATTATCTCAGCAAGTCTATGCAAACAAGTCACTCCATTTGACTTGAAACTCACCGAGTATGAAAGACTGGTTACTTAGAATTCAAAATGCTCCCCCCTTTTCTTTTTTGCATCCAAAGGAAACATTCTTTTGAATGAGCACAGTCTCTTCTCTGCATTAAATTTGTGAAACAGAAAAGGAAACATTTCCAGCCAGCCACGCTTTCAAAGCTTAAATGATCTTTATTCCGAGCCCAATGCCATGCTTGAAATTGCGACGCTGATGCCACATTATCTCCCGGCTGCAATTAGAGGGTGGAGAACTATGACTTCCACATCCGAAACCAATTTCAGAGGGGATTAAAACACTGCCTGCTCTGAAATTTGAACAATGAATTAATTACTGCACCGTCGCTTCTTGGGAGGGAAAGCAGGCCTCCGATCTCAGCCAGGCTGCCATTGAGATGCTCCCTGGGAGATGCAAAGATTCCAGCATGGCACAGGAATCAGCAAATAGGCAAGATCCTACCAGGGCCTCGGGAGGAAGGAAGCACTCAGAGCTGTCAGAACTCCAGGATGAGTGTTAGAACAAGAAAACAAATATTTGCTTCACGTATAAGCACTGAATGTCTACTGTACATMAGAACAGTGCTGGGCCATGGGCACAGGGTCAGTTCAGCCTTGGCCCCTGCCCTCAGAGGGCTCCCTGTCTGTATCAGGCCTCTGCAAGGGTCAGATAATGCATCTTTTCTGCTTTGCAGGCCATAGGCATCTAGAAGAATCTCATTGTGTAAACCAAAATTAGGACCAAAAGAGGTTGGGGGTGGGTAAAGAGAACTTTGAAAATGCAGGTGCTTGYTGTGCTACTTTCTAGCTCTCAACTAGGTCGAAGGGCAGCTGAGCGTCTCAGAGCCTCATCTGCAGGCTGGAGCTAATATTATTGTCACTATTGCTACCCATGTTATATTAATACAACAAATATGCTATTAGGCAATAATCTTACAATTTTGCTAGGACAAATTATATATTGTACGTCTAATGTACTGTACTGACATAGTGATATGCTATAAGGTATATTGCACAACACATGTAGAAACTTAGTTATCATTTGTTCTAAAACCACTTGTAATATTGACATAATAATGGCCTCTTCATAACAACATTAGCCCAGCAGTTTTGAAATGAGGGTTTTAGTTTGAATACAAACCTGCTGAATGATTTCTCGTAAGGCCCTTTATGACAACATGCCTCAGGACTAGGATTTTTTTGGTTCGTGGAGCTATCTCCAGGACCAGCTGCTGTGTGACTATGGTTGGGTCACCAAACCACTTCACAATGTGGCAGACACTAATGGGGATACCAGCCCATTCCAGGTAGGAAGATCTGGAGTGGGAAAGAGCTTTAGAAAAAATAAAGCTATAGTTAGGCAGACTTTTCTTACTCCCCCCGCCCTCCGAGTTAAATGACCTTTAGGAGAATCCCAAATGATAAACCTTCTCATGAAATCACCAGGTTTCCTGTTCGTGGTTCAGTCTTTCTGTCACTTTTATGCTGAGGCATTAGTTTCTAGTACCATGCTGTTGCCATCTATTTATCACCATGGTCTTGGTATTATTGTTCCCTTGACAGAGGAYAAAATGATATTTAGAAAGATTAAGCAGTTCGCCCAAGGTCACACAGCTAGTRCCAGACTGGGGGACTTAAAATCAGGACTGCCTCCAAAACCTCTGCTCTTAACCACATAACATTCYCCAGTGTGGTAAGGTGCRTATGCTATCAAGAGCAGTAATGTTAACAGAAGCTGTAAATGAGGGAGTCCAAGCTCCAAGAGCCCAGGTGACAGGGAGCTCTGAAGCAGCAGCTGATGACCAGCAGGGGCCTTGCTCACAAAGCCACGCTATCTGCCTGCAGTGCTACGTCAACCTGCTCTTTTGGTACCAGTTCTTCTGTGGTTTCTCTGGCTCCACCATGATCGATTACTGGCAGATGATATTCTTCAACCTCTTCTTCACTTCCCTGCCACCTATCATCTTCGGAGTCCTCGATAAAGATGTCTCTGCAGAAACACTGCTGGCGCTGCCCGAGCTMTACAAGAGTGGCCAGAACTCCGAGGTAAGCAGCTCAGGCCTTCAGGAGGTGGTGGCCTGTTTTTCTTTGACCACTGACAGCCCTGGAAAATCAGTGTAAGAACAGTTGGCTGGGTCACAACTGTTTTGGGGTCCTGCTTTCTGTCCCTTAACTCCCATGTGACATTAGGTAACTCTTGCTCCCATACTTGAATTTCATTTGTTGYTGAAGGTGCTGGAGGATTGCAAGTTCAAAGCCAGCCTCGGCAACTTAGAGAGGCCATAAGCACCTCAGCAAGACCCTGACTCTAAGTAAAATGTTAAAAATGGCTCTAATGTGAGTCAGTGGTTAAGCACCCCAGGTTCACTCCCCAGTGCCAAAAAAAGTGACATAGTAATGTGACTGCCCTGATTGAAAGGGAGGAGGACATATAGGAAGATTTCCCAAGYCCAGTGTTTCCTGTTGCTGGGTACTGTACAAGCTCCAGGAGTTTATGTGGCCCTGGGCTGTAGCACAATATGGAGATGGCATCAGGGTGGGACCATGTGAGAATGAGAACTCACAGTGAGCTGGAAAGCCTCCTCCAAAGTTTGTAAAAGAGCAAGGGTGAACTTGTTCTTTTATAATAGCCCACCCTGGCTTCCCCACATCGCCACACTGAGGACCAAGCTTCCTCTAAGGGACATGCACAAACCATGTCCCCCAGCTTGAGAAACCTGGGGACTAGCTACCAGTTTGCTTATCCATAAAGTATACTCAAAAGCATACTTCACATCGTCCAGGGAAGAATGTAGAACTCAAGAGAGCATGGCCTAGAACTTTCTGGTATCAGACTGCAGAAGTCCAGAGAGTCTACCCTGAGTGATTTGGAGAAGTGAGGCAATGGCAAGGAGGGCTGGTGGAGGGGCCCCTGGATGCTTTGAAGGGGACTTCTGGGAAAGAGGCCTTGAAACACCTGTAAATAGGGTACCTGTGCACCTGGGGCAAAGGAAGGCAAAGCCAGATGTGGTGTTCTCAAAAAATATCAGCTCGCAACAAAGAATCAAGCCCCRTCCTAACCCAAAGAAAGGAGCATAAAGTGACACCGCAGGCCCAGGAGGATGTGCAAGTCCTGGAGGCAGCACAGCCATATCATGCCTCTAGTAGGTGCCCCTCCCGGAGGGGGGAGAACTGCTTCGTGGGCATCTACAATTCCAAGAAAATATAGTAAAAACCAACCCCAAAGGTTTCTGTCTTCCCCAGAAAGAGCAAAGGCTCATCTCTGACACAGCTGAGCTGTCTCTGGGGAGCCCTGGATCCTGGGCTCGGCTCTAGCTGTTCCTTTCAGAAGCCTCCTGGACACTTCAGACTCTGATGGACCCGGTGTGGAGTAGTTTTGTCAATAGAAACTGAGCGCTAATGGAGACCAAGGCACCGTGGCATTTAGTCCTCTTGAACCCCAAGGAAACAGTATTATTTCTAGCCTCATTTTATGGAAAAAGAAACGAGTCCTCAGAGCAGTTCAGTTCTCTTGACAAGGTCACACAGGAGTGGCAGAGCCGAGACTTGAACTGAGGTCTCGAGAGCCTGTGCTTTTTATCACTACTTTTTGTTGTGGCTGAGAGGCGGATGCAAGTGGCCAACCTCTRCCAAGATGGTTGCTTAGGAGGAAAAGGGCTGTGTTATGTTGTAACCATGGGCATCTTCTTCCCTGGCAGAACTACAACCTGTCGGCTTTCTGGATTTCCATGGCGGATGCGTTCTACCAGAGCCTCATCTGCTTCTTTTTCCCCTATCTGGTAAGACAACTAGTTCATCAATCACAGCCTGCAGTTGGTACAGATTATATGAAATTCCAGACGAGCAGTGTCTTTTTGGATACTTCAGACACAGGCTCCAAACTGGTGGTTGCAAACCACATCCCACCCAGCTGTTTGGAATAAGTAGAACACTTTATCCTAACAGTTTAGTATCTGGAGGATCTTGAAAAACCAGAAGCTAGCATCACTGCCATGAAGCAAAAATTCAGATTTTCAGCCCTGCTCAGATGGGAAATGTGTTCTCCCATTTGCCACAGTCCCCACCATTCCCCCTTACACCTGGAGTTCTTTGTTCATACTGCTACCTGCCTGATTATATCTCAAGGATTTTAAATTCAAATACCTTCCATATACATATATGTGAATATACATAATTTGTACTTGCAAAGTCAAGGCAGCAAGAAGAGATACTACGTTATCTTAAATAAACAGCAATTGCATAGATAGCAAGGGATACCAGCCCTGTCTCAATTTGTTTTCTCAGTTTAAATAGAAGAACATATTCTGACCCCCTGTTCAGGAAGAATAGAGTAATTGCCCCCAAATAAACCATATTGCTTATGGTGAGCCTTTGAGCTCATTTTCTTCCCCCCCCCCCCAATTAGCAACAAGATGGGGGTGGGAGCAACTTCTGCTGTTTCCAGGCTTGTGTTATCCTCTTAGTGAAGCATCCACTGGCCTTTCCTGCCTTATTGTCTGTCCCTGCCATATGCTCAACAGACCCACCCCGTTCTCCTGTGACCTTTGCCTGGACTGCATTTCTCTTCTTATCTCAGCTGTCATATCCTCTGTGTTTCCAGGACGCGTTGTCATTTCCCTCGATTATGGCACTCATCCCCTTAACCTGTACCACAGCTACCGGGCCTAATGGACTRTAAACTCCTTGAAGGTGGATATGAAAGTGTCCTCAGCCGGAGCCTGGGGGATGCTCCATAAATTCTTTGTTCACTCAGAGGTTTTACAGCCTTCATTCTGGCTTCCTCTGGCAAACATGTTTCTAAGTAATTTAGTCCTGTCACCTCATTTCTCATCTGTGTCTGTTCTTTGGGTGGACAGCAACTGGATATATTCTCTCCCTGTTCATCCCCAGCCTGGACACTTGTCTTCCTTGATGCTTTATGTCCACAGGCACATCTGACAATGCCCATTTGTTCCTCCTCTGCAGACCTACAGAGGCTCTGACATCGACGTCTTTACCTTTGGGACACCAATCAACACCATCTCCCTCATCACAATCCTCTTGCACCAGGCGATGGAAATGAAGACCTGGGTAAGTGTCCCAGAGCCTCAGTAGTTCAAAAGCAAATCCCTTTCCATTGCCTACATTAGGATTTCCGAGTTGTTTCACTCTATCTTTGATTCATCTGGTCACTGCATATTGAGCTCCTAGCTGTGTCCCACCTGGAAAGGGTTGAAAATAGTGAGGAAGATACAGTTCCTGGCCTCCACTTGCATATCATCTAGCCAGAATGACAAAACTAGATCAGCATTATTTGCAAAAATAGATAATGCTGATACAAAGTTCAGGAGTGGTATAGAGATGAGCTGTGTTAGAGGAGGTCTGTTTCTCATTTAAATTTTAGGGTGCAAGATTGGAAACTGCCTTCAGGTCACCATATCTCAAGCAAGTCCAAATATCACATTTTAATACCTAAAAAGGGATTCCAACTTCTTTACAAAGAGATGAAAAGTATGTGCCAGGCACCTACATGTTTTGCATGGGTTATCTCATGTAAGCTCCCAGATCCCTTTGTGTTAAGTGCAACTGGCCCCAAACATTTCAAGACAGAAGAGGTTTTGAGCCCTGGCAATCTAACCACTTTGTTAATAATGTGAATAGATAAAATTGAATGGTACATGGAGACCCTAGTACAGAAAGATTTGTCCTTAATCACATGGAAATGGCTCTTTCCGAAAGCGTGAGTTTTAAAAATTTGGAAATCTGCCCCCACGTAGGCTCAACCTGTTCCTGTGTTCTGCAGTAGAACTTATCGTCTCACCTCCCAGCACAAGCCAAACAGGCAATGGCTGTTGAAAACCACCAAGGGAGACACTACATCACAGGATTCCCCTTGTATTTCAACACATGCCAATGACAGAACCTAGTACTAAAACCAAAAAACACAGCAGGCTTAAATTTCTTCATGAACCACCTCACCAGAGAGCCTGCAACACACAGGAAAGAGGTCAGGTTCTGGGAAGGCTCAAACGAGGAGGTTTCTGAGAGTCAGAATAACACAGGGTTGATGGCAGTGGGGAGATTGGAGTCCCATTTACTACCGGGTCCAACTTCCCCACTCAAGAAAGCAACCTGTAGACAATGAGCAGGCATGGTGGCACATGCCCGTCATCTCAGTGAGACAGGAGGATCCCAAGTTTGGGGCCAGCCTGGGCAACTTGGCAAGACCCTGTCTCAAATTTGAATTAAAAAAGGGGAGTAGGAATGTTATTCCAGGGCAAAAAAACCCATAGGTTCAATCTCCGGTACTGTCAGGAAATATACCAAAAAGCTATTTGGGGTTACTACAGCAGTTGTATCAGAATTGTGAGCACCGGATCCTAGGAACTGAGACAAGCTACATGTTTAGAACTCTTGGAAATGAAAAAGTGCTACTTGTGGGATCCTCTTTAGATCAGACTCTGGCAAAAAGTAAAATACCAAATTGGAAAGTCGTACTGGGAACTCATCCAAAATGCCACACGAATAAGAAAAGTAGCTGAGAACAACCGTGGCTCCAGCATCCACATGATAGGAGTCTTAGGAGAAGATACAGGAGAGAATGGTAAAGAAATTTGAAGGGCTTGAGAATGAAAATCAGAATGAATCTGGCTGTATCACCTGGATATACAATAGGGAAACTCTACAACCAATGTAAGATACAGCAATGATCTTAAAGTCCACAAGCCACCAGAAAACAATGGATTCATCAGCCTACTACAGTGATTCGGGCACATCCATGTTTATRGCAGCACAATTCACAAGAGCTAACTTATGGAATTAGCCCAACTGCCCATGAGGAGATGAACAGATTAAGAAAATGTGGTATATATACACAGTGGAGTTTGACTCAGCCACAAAGAAGAATGAAACTATGTGAATCAATGAATAGAACTGGAGATCATGAGGCTAAGTGAAATAGACCCAGAAAAATCAAGGGCAGATGTTTTCTCATATGCAGAGGTTAGAGCAAAATATGGGGAATGAGGGAACTGTGGGAGGCATTGACCAAATTATGCTAGGTAGCTATACGAATATACCACAGTCAGTTGCACCTTGGTATCTATAAAGCAGCAATTTAAAAACCTACAAATAGAAGGAAGAACAGTAGAGGAAATACTTGGAAATGAAGTAGAGCAAATTGTATTCCATGCATGTCAAAATGAACCCCAATATTCTGTAAAACTATTGCACTAATAAACATTTAATTTAAAAAAGGAACTACATATCTATACTCTATGTATCTATGGAAATATCCCACTGAACCCCACTAGTCGTAAAGTCAAAAAAAAAAAGTCCACTTTAGTAAGAACATCAAAAAGTTTAGGAAATAAGATGGTAAAGAAGGGCTGGGTAATTTGTGCTAAATCCATGATGCATAGGAGATAGAAATATACATTTAACCATACATATTTTCATAAAAGTCCCAAAATGTAAGGTTAAAAGAATGAAAAAGTGCAGAAAATAAAAAATACAAAATGTTCAAATACATCAGTACTCTTAGCAAATGATAGTTTGCTTTAAAAGAAATTAATTCATTACTATATATATATATATATCCTTATATAATAAGTATAGGCAGATGGACAAATTCACAGTCATAACATGATCTTTTTATGCAGCTCTATCAGAAACTGGCATGGATCAAACATGCAACAAAATAAAATATATAATCTTTAAATAAATTGTATCTACTATATTTGTTATCTGGAACAGGATTTTATATATCTTTTTCACCAAAGAGACYATTTACAAAAAGATCAAAATTTTGAATTATAAAGCAATCTGAAAGATTGATAATTATAGAGGTCCTGGACAAAACAACATTTGAACTAAAAACAAGAAGAAGGTAACCAAAAGTAACATACTTGGAAATTCACTTTTAAGTAATTCATGAGGTAAAAAACAATGCTGGWAATTGTAATATTATTCTTACTGAATGATGATAAAATACATTTGCAGACTTCTTTAATCAACTAAAGCTTTTACTATGGAAAACAAATGAGAATTCACATGAAGGAATATAAAATTACCATATATACCAAAGAAAATGGAAGAAAAAGACAATCCAATGAAAACTTTAAAACCCTGGCAAAGCAGATTCAAGAGAAGACACGGAATGAAAATGGTAATAATTATCTGATTTTAAATTATGTCCTGAGAATTTCTTTAAATGTAAAATTTAACAAAACCTAGTCAAAATTACTCAACAAATATGAATAATCCAGATGCTGTCCCCCAGAAACGAATTATAGARACGAATTTGAGTTTAAATTTATAAGAGACAGATAATCTCTTATATAAATTTTTTCATGGAGGAACAACATGGCAGCGGGCAGAGAGGCAGCGCTTTCAATACCCCTTCAGGGATGGGGTCATAAAGACGCATAGATAACACTTAGATTCTACCAACGGAGAATCTCCTAGCAAAATTCCACTGAAGAGAGACCGGCCGGGAGCCACTAGGATTTTTTGAAGTGACAGTTTGCTCCAGACGAGCGAATCCCTGCCACAAGATGCAGAGGTCCAGATCCGCCAGCCRCTGTCCACGCGCCGCGGTGYGRCTGCCCACCCACCTACCCACTCGCAGCCAACATAACTAGGTCCCGCTAGCCTCAGAGACGCAGCTTGGCAGGAAGAGGTCTTTAGCCCAGCCTTCATGAAATAGCGAGCTGGGAGCTGAGGCCAACCGGGGACGGACCAGTCCCACCCCTCCCTTCGGACACTCTGGCAAGGAGCCTAGGGCCCGCCATAGCAGAGAGGGGACATCATCGGAGTCCAGCCGACGGAATTCCTTCCCAGCAGAATCCACTTTAGCAGGTGTGTGATTCCCGCCCCATCCAGATACAGGCAGCCAGGAAACTTCGGGGATCTCTCCGGGGGCGTGTCTGTGGGGAAGCAGAGGGGATCCCCAACCCCCCATATCACCAGCGGCAACTCCCAAGGTCTTAGCCGCCAGTTTACCACAGCACTGGGGCTTAAATGAGA